ATTCAACTCCAGACTTGTCCCTACCATTAAATTGGCCATTTTCTTGGTTGTTTTTGAACTTTTATTTCTGAGTGTCTGTATTTAGTTTTCCTGGTATAGCACTCCCTTAAAAACTTCTTGGAGAGCTGGTCTGGTGCTGGTAAATTCTTTCAGGTTTTGTTTACCTGAGAATGTCCTTGTCTTTTCTTCCCATCTGAAGGATAATCTTACCGGGTACAGTATTCTTGGTTGAAATTGCTTTTCCCTTAACACTTTGAATATATTTTCCCATTCTTTCCTCCCTCACATTGTTTCCAGTGAGAGGTCTGCTGTTAGCCTGATGGGATATCCTTTGTAGGTAACTTGCCATTTTTCTCTTGCCAATCTTAGGATCTTATCTTTGTGATTTTGGTCAATCTGGCTATAATGTGTCTTGGAGAAGATTTTCTTGGGTTGATTCTATTTGGGGTCCTTTGTATTTCTTGGGACTGGATCTTTGAGTGTCTCTCTAGGTTTGGAAAGTTTTCTTGCAGGATGTCACGGAACAGATTATCAATGCCCTTATGAGTCTCTTTACCTTCTGGGATACCAATTATCTGTATCTTTGGACACGTAATGATATCTAGTAATTCTCATATATTATTCTCATTTTTGGGGCTATTTTCTCAGTCTTTGTGGTGAACTTTTCTAGGCCAGTGATTCTATCTTTTACATCTGAGATTCAATCCTCTGTATGAGCTAGTCTACTTTTTTTTTTTTTTCCTATAGGGCACGAGCGCTGGCCAGAAAGAAACAGACAGAAAGCAAGAAATCACCCCCTAGAGAGATGGCCATGCCGCAATTTCTTCTCCTCCATTCTCCTCTTGGGATCTTGGGCACACATGCACACACGCCCAGTGTGAGTTTAAGCCACCGGGTCCAGGACTAGAACCACGATCGACTACATGGGAGTCCAGAGACATAGCCATTACGCTTACTGCTGGTCCCGACCTAGTCTACTTTTAATTCTTTCAAGGAAGGTTTTGATTTCCTGTATTACAACCTTCATCTCTAACAGCTATGTTTGATTCTTTATGATATGTGTTTCCTCTTTCAGATTGTGCAAGAACTTTCTAACCTCCTGGAAATCATTGGCTTTTTTCTCCTGCATCTTCTGGAGTTCATTGTCTCTCTTCTCTTGCATCTCTGTTAGCTTTGTCACTATAATATTTTAAATTCTTTATCTGGCATTTCCATGAGTTACATTGTACTGTCTGTTGGTGAAGAGGAGTTATTCTTTTCCCTCGGAGGAGAGGTATTTTCTTGCTTTTTCATATTTCTTGTGCCCCTGCGGTGATTTCTGGTCATCAGATGGGTTGTGTATTTCTTCCTAATTCTTTTTTATTTTAAGAATTGTTTTATTTGGGACCAGCAGGTGGCACGGTGGTTAAGGTGCTGGACCCCCATTGCTCTGTCTCTCTCTGATCGAATTAAAATAAATGAATGAATAAATAATTATATTTTTAAAAAAGTTCATAAGAAAAGAATTGTTTTATTTAACTTTATTTATTTACATTAAAAAAAATTTGACCAGAGAGAGACAGAGCAAGAGAGAGAGAGAGAGAGAGAGAGAGAAAGTGAGAAAGCAAGCCACCAGGCTTGGGACTCAAACTATGGTCTATGGTCCACCATGTGGGAGTCCAGTGCTCTCAACCACCATGTCATCTGCTGGCCCCTTTCCCTAATTCTTGATGTTCAATCTGGGATTCAGAGGTGTGCTGGAGGAGTGATCTGCAATCTCTCTTCTGTTCCATTTTTCACTCTTTGTGCACCAGATTCAGTGGGAAGTGGGAAATATTCTGACCCTAACAGTAATCAGATGCTTGAATATTGTTCGCTTAGACCTGACTAGACACTCAGTGTGTAGAGACTGAGCTGCCAACGGATGAAGCAAAAAGAAAAAGGAAAAGAAAAAAGAAGAGGAAAGAAGGAAAAAACTATACAAATTTTTTTAAAAAAAGAAAAAAGGGCAATAGAATAATTTTGTATTTTAATTTGAAAAAGGCAATATTTCACAGCTGAAGTTTAGTAGCCATGTCAGAATGGCCTTGGTTTGTGCCTCTCCTAGAAGGCAGTGGGAAAGGCACGAATTAGCATGTTAAAAGAGGGGCTTGAGAGCCCAGAGAATACTTTACCTTAAACAAAATTTAAGAGGGGACCAGCAGTTGGCATAATGGCTATGTAGAGTCCTAGACCTGGTGGCTTAAACTCAGGCTGGGAGAATGGAGAAGGGATTTTGGTGTGGCCATCTCCCCTAGGGGGTGATTTCTCGCTTTCTGTCTGTCTCTGTCTTTCTGACAAGTGCATGTGCCCTATAGCAAAAACCTGGGGTGGGGGGGATGTAAGAGACAGGAGACAGAGTGAAAAACGAATTACTGACCCAGCGCTGGTGGCACTCACAGCTAGGAGGCTGTGTTCTGAAGACTGGGACCACATGGGAATCCTGGATAAACTCAAGGTTGAACTTAAGGTCCAGCCCAGTGGCAAGTGAGTGAGCCGGCAATCTGGCCCGTTTTAAAAATGTTCATTTTGAGGGGCCAGCAGATGGCTTAGCAGTTACTTCATTGGATTCCCACATGGTCAGCTGTCGTTCAAGTCCTGGACCCGCTGGCTTGAAAACCACGCAGAGCATGCGTGAGTGCATGCTCAAGATTCTGGGAGGACCGGGAGAGAAACGGAGGTGAAGGGATTGGTGGCGGGCCACTTCCCCCACCCCGCCCCCGGTGATTTCTCACTTTCCCTCTCACTGTCTCTGTCCCCCACCCCCCAGAACATGTCCTAAGGCAAAAACCTCTTTAAAAAAGTTCATTTGGAGCGGCTCTCACATTTACTCCAAAGAAGCTACCCCCTCTCTCCTCTCCCTTCACTCTGCCATCATAATCAACCAAAGGGTAGATATCCTCTCCCCCCTTTTCATTCAAACGGGGCTGAAAGAGGAGTAAAGGGGCAGCCCTCGCTGGACACTTGGGACGGGCCAGATGCCGTGCTCAAAAATGTAAACCCCGGCGTGTGCGTGGGCGGAGACTGACAGTCACTAGTAATTGTAACAGTGTGACACAGGGCGGCAAGGACGGGCGACGAGGAGGCAGTGGTGAGGTTGATCTGTGTGTCGGAAACGCCTTCGCAGGAGAGGCAACTTTAGAGTAATGGCCAGGCTGAAGAGCGGCAGGACCCGAGGGAATCCCAAGGTTTAGCAACGCACAGAAACGAAGAATAGAATTAAGGGAGTGCCAGGAGCCAAGGCCAAGCAGGTGGGCAGGGGCCTGGCCTCGGTAAGCAACTTTTACAACCAGCTTTCAACTGTAAGAGCAGGTTACGCGACTCAATGAACCTAACCTGGGAACCAATCGGCCCTCCCTCAGAGGTTCCCTTCCGGGGCGTTCTACACCGCGGGCCGGAGCCGGAGGGCGAGTGGGAGCGTTTCTCCTTCCAGGCGCCCAGCGCCCCGAGGCCCGGAGTGGCCGCCAGGGGCGCGCGTCCTCCCCGGGGTGAGAGCAGAGCGCGTGACGCCCGGGGTGCCGGGAGCTGGGACCGCGCCAGCACTGAGGGTCCAGAACTGGCGGCAGGGGCTGGGTGTGCCAGTGACCCGGGTCGTCGGAACGCAGGGAGGAGCCGCGGGGTAGGGCAGGGGCGGCCGCTTGGGCCTCGGGCAGTTATTCCCGACATGCTCCTCCCGGGAAGGATTTCAAACGCGCTACCACAACAACCCCCCCGCCCTTCCCCCCCCGCTTGCCTCAGCAACAGGCGGCGGCCCGCTTCTCATTGGCCCGGCCCCGCGCTGTCGTGTTGTGATTGGCCGCGGAGCCTCCCGGCCCTGCTTCTGCGCTCGCCGCGGCCTCCATTTTGTCAGTAGAGGCAGGAGGAGGTGGAGTTGGAGACGCCGGGGTGATTGGTAGCTAGCTGGTCCGTGCTCGTGGGCTTTGTTCGACCGCTGCCTCGTCTCTCCCTGGAAGGGAGGAAGGCTTCGACGTCGAGAGGGAACCGCCGCCGTAGTTCCGAGCTTGAAGTCGGTGAGG